CCCGTGGGGTCCTGGGACCCGGGGCTGCCCCCTCCGGATCCCCGCTGTGCACCTGCTCATCCTGGCCTAGGTCATCGGGTGAGCCCCGCGGGCGCCCTCCAGGTGGGGTCCGAAAGGCAGCGACCCGAGGCCGGTGACACACCCCTCCGGCGACCCCAGCCACTGGGGGATGGGCGCCGTGCCAGACTCTGAGGCAGAAGACTGCTTGGATGTTGTGTTTTAGGGACAAATCCTGGCTAGAGCTTCATCCTCGCCTTTCCTGCTTCCTGTCATTCTGACTGGCTCCCGTGATGTCCTTTGGCTCCAGGAAGGAGGGGGAGCGCGTTGCCTAAATTTCTCAATCTTTGTCACTTCCCATTCTGATGATCTGCTAACGGAAACCGTGGTTTGGGATTACACTTGGTTCCTTTTGGGTCTGTGGTTTCCGGTCCTGTCCTTTGAACACCATGTGGTAATCCAAGAGAGTAGAGGTCACACTTCCAGTTTGCTTCCTTCGTCTTATGGGGTGGTTGGTATAGGTACCTGCCTGCCTTAGCCTCATCACTCGCCATACTGCCCTCTTTGCATAGATATGCCCAGCCACCATCATTCCTCACAGTGTTTAATTTTAATTGAATGCACCCCCTTACAATCTAATAAAACTGGAGAGAGGAGGCGGGAATTAATTTACCAACTGGGCCTGCTTTCAAGGGCCACCTGGGATGTTATGCTTGCATAGCTGCTGAGCTAACAGATGTTATCTGCTTTGTCATTTCTTTACTTATACGGCCTAATGCAGCAGTCCCCAAACTACACAAATAGCCATTTGTGAATCTTTAATACGAATTGCTGGCTACCATCCCCAGACTTTCTGATTCCATTGCTCTAGAGTAAGACCAGTTCCCTAGGTAATTCTGCTGTGCAGCAAAGTTTGGGAACTAGTGTTTCCCAAACCTACCTGATCATGAAAGACTCACCCTGAGGAATTGTTTAAAGTAACCTGGGGTGGGGCTTAGAATCTGTTAATACTGCCCAGGGAATTCACGTGATCAGACAGGTTCTGCCTCTTAACATCTATCAGCCCCGCAGCAGTAGGTACTGACAGTACTCAATAAAATGGCTTTCAGGGTATGGACTCCACACCAGAACCACCTAGCCCCGTGGTCGGCAAACTGCGGCTCTTTGGCCCCTTGAGTGGGGCTCTTCCTAAGCCTTAGGAGTACCCTAATTAATAACAATGTACCTACCTATATAGATTAAGTTTTAAAAATTTGGCTCTCAAAAGAAATTTCAATTTGTACTGTTGATATTTGGCTTTGTTGACTAATGAGTTTGCCGACCACTGACCTAGTCCATTCCCAGGTTTGGACTCAAGCGAGTCTCATTAAGCTCCACCACGAACTCAGTCATTGTGATGCAGTCATTGTGATGCACCCTTGCATTTTGAGACCCGATACAGCTGGCTTCTTGAACTGACTTGCTGGGTTGGATGTGAAGCATTTGGAATCGAGCTCTCATGCAGCTTTTTCCTTTTAGCTCTTGAAGCTCATGGGAAGAGTGGCTTACATCTACCTTAGGGATCTGTGAAGTTCTAGACTGCGGATAATATAGTAGCCTTCCCCCCCTCATCTGCAGTTCCTCTTTCCACAGTTTTAGTTACCAAAATCTGAAACTATTAAATGGGAAATTCCAGAAAAAAAACAGTTCATAAGTTTTAAATTGCACACCATTCTGAGTCGCATGATGAAATTTCAAGGTGCCCTGCTCCATCCCACTAGAGACATGTTCATCTCTTTGTCCAGCCTTTCCATGCTGTGTACAGTCCCTTCCTGTTAATCACTTAGTAGCCATCTCAGTTACCAGGTCAGTTATCAGAGAGTGACCACCTTCACATAACTGATCACAGTGTATTGTTGTAATTGTTCTATTTTATTACTAGAGGCCCAGTGCACAAAATTCGTGCACTGTTGGGGGGGTGTCCCTCAGCCCAGACTGCACCCTCTCCAATTTGGATCCCTCTCACAACTGGGACTGCTGGCTCCCAGCCACTTGCCTGTCTGCCTGCCTGATTGCTCCTAACTGTTTCTGCCTACCAGCCTGATCACCCCCTCACTACTCCCCTGCCAGCCTGATCAACGCCAAACTACTCCATTGCTGGCCCGATCACCCCCAGCTGCCCCACCCTGCCGGCCCGGTTGCCTCTAACTCCC